AGAAATCTAAGCAATAGTATGAGTTATACAACCACTGGCCTGGTCCCTGGCACCTCATGCGCATGGTCCTGTGTGTATCAGTGGCTCAAATAATGCTATTGGAAGAGAGAAGTTTTAATTCTATACTCCTCTAGATCAGTAATTTTCAGGCTTGCTTCCCAACATCCTCCTTTAGGCACCTCAAGAGTGCAGAGTCAAAATGAAACTGACTTCCACTCACCCACAAGCAGAGGTTCCTACCAGGGTCAGCCCACACAGCCAGGAGAGGATTTGTGTTATGTAGGGTACCTCTCACAGTTCTCAAGTACTCACTGAGTTTGTACACATGAATTGGAAAATTCTCACCTCATTAACCACTCATGATTATAGCACTGAGATCATCAGTGAGAATGCCCAATAAAATAACGAGGGTTGCAGCAGAAGCCTTGGCCTTGCTAAATTGTTGAGGCTGACCTTGAACCTGCAAACCTAACCTCCTGCCTCAGTCCACAGGGCTGCTGGGATTACAGGTATATGCCATCAAGCCCAGCTAACCCTCCACTCCCATCCACCAGTATTAGGGATTAAACCAAGGGTGCTTTGCTACCAAGCTATAGTCCCAGCCCTATTTTTTGAGACAGAAGTCTTACTAAGTTACTCTGATCTTGCAATCCTCCTGCTTTAACCTCCTGAGTAGCAGGGATTATAGTTATCTACTAGTACACTTGGCTTTTGTTTTTTTCTCTTTGTTTCCTGGCAATATGGGGATTAAACCCAGGTACACTCTACCTTGGAGCGACATCCCCAGCCCTTTTTTTATTTTGAGATAGTCTTACTGAGTTGGTACAGTTGGCCTTTAACTTGTGAGCTTTTCCCTAAGACTTTCAAGACACTGGTATTACAGATATATACCTCCATGCTCAGTTTCTCTCTTAATATTAAGGAATCTACTGGACTCATTACCTTAAAAAATATGGCAGCCTGAAACTGTAGTCAACACTAACCATGAAAGAAATGAAGAGATCAGCAAACATTCAGGATAAGAACCAAGGAAATCTATCCAAGGTCATGGGATATGGGCAAAGAACCCTAACTATAAAAATAGACCTCTATGCAAATATGTTCATATCAGGAAGAGATGCCAGAATTTTAACAAGAGGGCTTTATACCCAAGGATGTCTAAAGCCAAATTAGGGTAGATTTCACTGGACTGGACTCACTCATGAAGACCTGGGCTGTTCAGGCCATGTATCAGGCCTACTGGCTTTAGTAGGGTACACCAAGGAAGAATGTCCTTTCAAATAGATGTTTACAAAAAGAATTCTCTGGGAACTGAAATTAGAAATCTTCATCTCTGATATCTGCTTTATAACTAACTTCTCTAGAATCGTGTTTAACACTTAAATGTAGTCCTAACTACCCCCAATATAACAGGGTCTCCCCATTTCTCATTGACAACATTTATGATTTCTGATGTACATTCTCACTACTCCTCCTCATGCTTTGGGAAGTAGGGGAAAATGGCATCTAAATTTGAATGGTAGCATTGTGTAGATAAGAAAGAGTTCAGAGATTGCATAAACTCAAAGTCCTATACCAATAAGGAGGAAAAGTCAAGCTTAAGCATTCTAACCCCTAAGTATGGTGTTATTTCCATCATACATCCCTTAAAAACAACCACTAAAGTTCTTCAGATCGGTGGAAAGAACTCCCAAGTCTCTCTGCTATAGAACTATCATTACTTTAATGCTCCCAAATGTACCTGATACTTACTAGTAAGAAGCTGGGCTGCTGCAGGTGAGGGAATGCCATGGTAGCCTCCTGTGGAGAGTCAAAAATGATTGCCTTAGGAAACCACTGTGGAAGAACAAAGACGAAATCTCAGTATCTGCCATACAATAGAATGTTATGCAGTTTTAAGATGCCCAGGAGAACATCTGTGTAACTGAACACATGCTGCCCTGTCAATTTCCATTTTTTATAGAAATGCCATTCTCATACAGTTTATGATGGCCAGCTTCAGAGCCACACTTGTAGTAGTGAATCCTTACTAGATGCCAGAACTGGCACTTATACTAGATGCCAGAACTGGTTCTCAGGGTTTTCCATATATTTCGTCATCTAATCCTACCTTAAAGGCAGTCCTTCAAAAGTCCTATATTTTGGTTATTCAATCACTTATCTAAGTACTGCTGTGAAGGAATTTTGCAGATGCAATTAAAAGTCCCAATTCAGTGGATTTTAAGATAAAATGTAGCCCAGAGTTATAATAAATATCAGTCCAAAACTAATAAGTCTATTCTACAACTCCAAAGAATTGCATTCTGCCAACAACTTAAATAAGCTTGAAGGCAGATTCTTCCCTAGAGCCTGCAGATAAAAGTAAAGACCCTAGCTGAGCCTGCCTGCTCTTCTGATTATGTAACTGTGGGATAACAAAATGGATGCTGTTTTATGCTGCTAAGTTTGTAAAACAAGAATAAAGTTTGTAAAAACACATCCTCACAACAACCCACGAGATCAGTACAGATGAGGAAACAGGCAGAAAGGTTCTAAGTCACTTGCCTCCACCTAGCTAGTAAATAGTAGAACTCTCATAGACAGATGGCTAAAACACATCACTTGTGCTCTGTACAGTGAACAAATGTAAGAGAAGAGCAAACTCTGTCAAGGGAACATTTGAATGGGCCATCAAACAATTAGGGAGGTTAGGCGCAATGGTGTGTGCCTGTAATCCCAGCAGCTCAGGAAGCTGAGGCAGGAGGATCGCAAGTTCAAGGCCAGCTTCAGCAATTTAATGAGGCCCTAAGCAACTTAGCAAGACACTGTCTCTGAAAAATAAAAAGGGCTCTGGGATGTGGCTCAGTGGTTAAACGCCCCTGGGTTCAATCCCTGGTACCAAATGAATAAATAAATAAATAAATAAAAATAAAAATTAGGAATGGGACTGTCTCTCCCTTCTTGGCCCAGAATGTGAGATAGCCCGCAATCTCCCTTGAATGTTTCTGCTTTCCTAAATAAACCTTTTTGTCTCTGGAAAAAAAAAAATTGGAATGGCTCTTTAGATTCATACTTTCTTCCCAGAAAAGAAAACAGAGTTGGACTGAGCAAAGAGGAAGCCTGAAGAGTCCCACCAAATGGCTAGTGACAGCTTTCCTGGCATAGCTCTGCCCAGCACACAATTAAAGAAGCTGAAGTGACAACTGGAAGATTATATGGAAGGAGACTGGTTGGGCATAAGGAAGTTATGTAGGCAGTTGGGGTGTTGAGAGGATACTCAAATCTTTGCCACTTGGTAAGAGAAATAGCCCCCAGGCTATTTCAATTCATACTAGTTATCAGTTTCAGTGGAAAACTGAAATCGCCTCAGTCCTGACCTACTTGGTTAAAGGGAACATTGCATTACTCCAAATTGATCAGGGCAATATAAAATTGTGAACTGTTTCATAATAGCAGAGATTTCGAGGTGAAGTGAAAGTGTATATTTGCTCAGAGGAAGCTTTCTTAGGCAACGACTGAAAAAATGTAGCCCAGAGTTATAAAATTCGGATCTTTCCAAGAGGGCAAAGATTCCTATACCCTCGTTACACCCCTCCGCGCGCAGTGCACCAAGAATTCGCCTCATCCCGCCCCTTCCACACCCACTTTCTTCAAGAGCTGCTAGGACTCTGGGGGTTTCTGGTGGCGGCAATCCTCAGCCGGTGCCAATCAGATCTAGAGTATAGCGCCACTGATAAGACCTCACCTGTTCCTTACAACGTTCTATGGAGTAAAGTATCAAGAGTCTCCTATTACAGAGGAGAAAACTGAGGCCCGGAGAAGTCGAACCATGCAAAGTAAAAAGGCTGGGCCAAGATCCACACCTGGCTCTTCCACACTGTTGAGCCCAAGGCTCAGTTTTTTTAAAACATTTTTTATTAGTTATTAACACACCTTTCTAATTTATTTAATTGCTTATATGTGGTGCTGAGAATCGAACCCAGTGCCTCACACATACTAGGCAAGCGGTCTACCACTGAGCCCCAGCCCCAGCTCACAAGGCTCAGTTTTCAACTTGAAGCTTTCCTTCCATCACTTCGTTCAACGAACGTTAACAGAGCACCTACCGGGATGGGGTGCGCAAGAAGGTGGAATAAAGGTATAGCCCAGGAGAGTGGCATAAAGGCCCAGACGGGAGCCTTGGCTCCCCTGTAGGCCTGGCCCAGGCTGAGTAGCCGGGGCCCGGTCCAAGTCCCGGGGCTCGCGAAAGAACGGAGACGGCCTCGGCGAGGGCTCGAGGACAACGACGACGACGGAGCATGGAGCTGTCTCGCGCGCTTTTCCCGTCACTCACCTGTGGGACCCCTATCACCGGTTGCCTCAGGTATGGAAGCCGCCATTCGGCGACCCGGCGCCGAAATGTCGTCATCACAATGCGCAGGGCATTACGCCTCCTGGCCGGGCGGGAAAAGTGCCCCTACCTTGAAAGGCGCGTGCGCAAAGCGAAGGCCGGCCAGGGTTTGAGATGTAAGGGAGGTGGTCCTGAAAGCGCGTGCGCAGTTGCAGCATCTGCACCCCTAACGCCTGTTTAGCCATTGCCAAGAGTGCGCGTGCGCACAGAGGTCATTCATTAGTGTTCTCTAGGAGCGCCCCCTAGTGGAGGACCTACGCCAAAATACAATTACACGCGACATGGAAGCGCCCACTCTAAGCCAGGCATTGTGCTAGGTGTTGCTGTGTAAGTGAGCAAGATCAATGCAATCTATCAGGGAAGATCTGGTTGTAAGAAGCTAATCTCTGTGTTCCACTATGGCATCCACACGCCTAACACACTACATAGTACACAGTGGGCCCTCAATAAAAGTCTAGGGCTCGAATAACTCCGTGAGATGGCCCCGCATGCCAGCCCTCAGAGCTGGGGAAGTCTAGTTGGTTCTGCAAGGACGCTGCAGGGAGAAGGATGGTTGTCAGCAGCCGGTAGAGGGCGCTGTGGGAACTCCCGTCCGACTGCGACTTGGCGGAGCGGCGGCCGGGTGGGCAGGGTCAGGGCGCGCGCCTTCTTACCCGCAGCTTACATGGCGGCTGCCGGCGGAGGTCCCGGACTCGGGGCGACCCCGGTTCTGGAGGCTGCAACTCTGCAGAAACTCGCGCTGCGGCGGAAGAAGGTGCTGAGCGCCGAGGAGATGGAGCTGTATGAGCTGGCGCAGGCGGCTGGCGCCGCCATGGATCCCGACGTGTTCAAGTGAGCGGGCGCGGGTGGTGACTTCTTGCTCCTCCGACCCGCAAACACCCCGGTTCCTGGCCTCCGCCACGCCCTAACCTGGACCCACTGGTGTAGAAGAGCCCGCAGCCCGTGTCGGGTCTCCAGGGCAGGCCTGTCTTGTGGCGGGAAGGGTTCACTGAGCATCACTTTTGTTCTCACCAGGATCCTGGTGGACCTGCTGAATCTGAACGTGGCCCCTCTCGCCGTCTTCCAGATGCTCAAGTCCATGTGTGCCGGGCAGAGGCTGGCAAGCGATCCCCAGGACCCTTTGGCTTTGTCTCTGCCCACGTCGGGCGTGTCGGAGACCCGAGGTCAGAGCTGGGCCCCATTCTCCCCTCCCCGGTGGCTGAGGTGTCAAGGTACAGTCCAGGCTTAGCCGTGAATGGCGATGCCTGCCAGTGAGTCTCCTGTTAGAACCTTTAGGGCCATCCACAGACTCAAGGCCCTGGCTCGGTTGCCACCCTTGGAAGTGCACTTCCAGATCATGATTGCAGAGTGGGGGCCCTAGGGTGTTCCAAACAGACTGGAATTCACCTGCCCCATCTTCTCGCCTCTTCACTCATGCCTTCATTCCACAAGCATGGGAATTAAGATGGCTTTGTTACCTGTCCTGGCATTAAAACCTTCAGGGAAGTGTACATAGACCAGGGCATGCTCCCCCTTGCCTGTACCTCACCCTGACCTGAGCTCTGCCCAGGGTCCTGGCCAGCCGGGCTTTCCTCCAAGGATTACTGGAGCACCTCTCTACTCAAGTTTCAAGGGCTTCCTCATTTTCTTGATCATGACTGGGAATGAGCAGATGCTGGTGATTAAGAGTATGTCACCATGGATCCACTGTCCTTGATCATCTTCCCTGTGTGTTGCTTCTGTCCCACAGAGGCTGCTGGGAACCCTCTGAAATTCAGCAGGATCTTCCAGGCAAATGAAAGGAGATCCAGGGCTGGCTTCCTGCCTAGAAGCACTTGGGATAGCCACACAGGCAGGTCCCTGAGGGGAGTAGTGCCAGGGCCCTGGGGATCCATATGCCTGAGCCAGGAGAGGCCCCAGGCACTGGCATTCAGGTTGCCTCACTTACCTACCCTCTGTCTGCTCTCTTTGTGTCTTTCTCTGACTTCCAGAGGCCTCCTTTCTCTCTGCCAGGAACAGTAGCCCCCCTGCAAGGTCCTCATTTTCCTCTGCCCTGCGGCCTACGGCCTCTCCGGTTCTGCTCCACGGCCCAGCTGCCACGCACTCGCCTCTCTCTCCAGGGCCCCCCGCTTCCCTCCGGTTCTCTTGCTGCTTGTTCTCTCCTTTTGCAGGTCGTGTTTATTGGCTTATCTCTGGGGGTTGGTGTGCTCTCTTGTTTCCTTGGAAACTGCCATGGCACATGTGAGGCCAGAGCAGCTTTGAACTGCAAGGGCAGAATGTGCAGGCCATTACTGCCTTGCAGCTTAGTGCCAGGCCACTCTCTCTAACTCAGTTTACTAAAGATACAGTACTTCTAGAACATGTAGTTAGGCTGGTCAGGGGGTGGGGCTAATACCTCTATGCCCCAGAGACTAACTCTGGTGGGTAAGACTTTTACACTGTAAAGGTCTCCACTCCAGGGGAGGACAGCAGGCTGAGAGGCAGGGAAGAGGCAACATGGCATAGTGTTGGGAGCACAACCTCAGGTATGAGAAGCATCTCAGCCTCTTAGATGCTGTCCCCTACCTGGATAGGTGGTCTAGAAGATAATACAGATGCTATGGCTTCCACCAGCCCCCTTGGCAGTACCATATATATGAGTGATGTAAGCTTGTCCTATAAGTCATACTTGCAATCTGAGTCCCCTTTCCTCTCTCATCCTGGACAGGGGTATCTTCTGGGTATTGCCAGATGCCCAGAGCATGGTGTGTGAGGCCTCAGGGTGCTTTGATTGCACCCTCCTGCAAACCCTCCCTCTGTGTTCTCCAGATTCCAGATACTGCCTGGAGCTCAGGCCCAGGGAGGGTGGGGAAGGGCCAAGGGACTGGGAAGGAGAGACTGGGAACAGGGTCTCTTTCACTTGAAGGGACATTGCTGCTCACTCAATCAGTAACCCCAGGTATCAGGTCCAGTTCTTGCCAATGAAGGCCCAGAAGGTAGATAAGATGGACTTGCTTTGGGTCCAGTGAAAGAAGATAAACTTACAATGATGAAGATAGAAAGAGGTATGGTCCATTCAATTATAAACCTGCAGCACTACCATAGCAGGTTGGGGCAGGAGGGGCCAGTTAGGCAGGGCCTCTGCAGCCCTGCCAGATGGTGTGGTGTGGAGAGGGCTGAACAAAGTGAGGCAGAGATGCAGGATAGTGGTATGTCATGTGTTGTGTCCTGGCCACTGGTAGGAGCATGGCCTAACCTGGGGCAGAAGGAAAAGGGAGAAAAAGCATAGAGAGTCAAAAGATATGTGGGGGTGAAGCACAGGGAGCAGAAGCACTGTGTGAATGCATGAGGGCTCAGCTGGGTGCAGAGGTGCATGCCTCTGATCCCAGAGATTCAGGAGGCTGAGGCAGAAGGATTACAAATTTAAGGCCAGCCTCAGCAACTTAGTGAGACCCTGTTTCAAAATAAAAAGGGCTGGGGATGTAGTAAAGCTCTCCTGGGTTTAATAACCCACCAAAGAGGAAGAATGGGTCTTCCAGGGAAGTGGGGAGAAGCCTCAGCACAAGAACAGGAGTGGCCTGAAGTGCTGGGCCCTACAGGGCTGTTGGCTTTCAAAGACTCAATCCTGGAAGCTTAACTAGACCCCAGTCCTGGGAGGACATGGAGGACCTGAGAAGATGCCTAGGGGGACAGAGGAGAGACTGGGGTGGCTGGTTGGTGGGGAGGATATACAGAGGAGTGAGGCAGAGGTAGGGCTATGCCAGGAGTATGCTGCAGCCAAGGGGCCACCAGATGAGATGGAGATCTCTAAGGCCTGTATGTCATAGCATCCACCCACACAAACATTCCAGCTACCTTATAAATGACAAAATATATAGTGGAATAAATATGAATGCTCAAAGTGATCCATTTGGGATGACAGAGTTTGGAACCATTGAGGTTAACTTGCCCTAGGTTTCCCACAGAACTCAGTGTGGAGGTGCTCTAGGCCACATGGGCCAGAGCCCCACTCAGGAGTTTGAGTCTGTAAATCACAGCAAGTACGATGGTGCTGTCTGGATTCCTAGCCATCCAGGAAGCCTGCAGGGACTCATCCATGCCCAGCAGAGAAGGGGGAAACATAAGACCTCAGAAACACAGACGGGGAATGCTGGTCACAGTGAGGGCCTGTAGTCATTGAGGGGAAATTAAATTCAGTTGAGTGTTCTCTAATTGGGTTTAGGGAAACAATACATTTTGAAAATATGTCCCTCCAGAACATGTAGAGTGAGGTTCGGTATGTGGAATATGGGTCATGTGATCTGTGCTGTCAGTAAGGGAGCCATGAGCCATGTATGGCTGTTGCAGTCAAGACACACTGGATGTCAAAGAACTGGTACAAAAATGAATGCAACAGCTCATGGCTATATACTGATTACATGTTGAAATGATAATACAGTTGTCCCTTGGTATCTGTGGGTATTGGTTCTAGCACACCCCCATAAGTACCAAAATCTTGAGTCCCTTATATAAAATGGCAGAGTGTTTGCATATAACCTATGTCATCCTCCCTTATCCTTTTTTTAAAATATTTTTTTAGTTGTCAATGGATCTTTATTTATTTATATATGGTGCTAAGAATCGAACCCTGTGCTTCACACATGCCAGGCAAACGCTCTACCACTGAACTACAACCATAGCCCCCCCCACTTATTCTTTTTTAATATACATAAAAATTATCTAACACTTCTTCAAAGGAATGGTGTTTGTGTGTGTCTGTTGGATGATGCTGGGGATCGAACCCAGGGCCTCATGTATGCTAAGCAAGCACTCTACCACTGAACTATATCCTGAGCCTCTATTTATTTTTTTAGAAATGGGGCCTTGCTATGTTGCCTAGGCTGGCTCTGAACTCCTGAGCTCAAGCATTCCTCCTGTGTCAGTCCTTGGAGGATCTGAGACTACAGATGTATGCCACCATACCCAGCTCTCTTGTTTACTTAAAATCAGCTTGAGAATACTTAATCCAATATAAATATTATGTAAGTAGTTGCTATATTGTTTAAGGATGCAATTTTTTTTCCAATTTTATTTTTATTATTTTGTGGTGGTAGGGATTGAACCTAGGATCTATACCACTGAGTTGCATCCTCAGCACCCCCTCTTTTTTTTGTCGGTGCTGGATATCCAACCCAGGGCCTTATACATGCTAGACAAGTATTCTACCACTCAGCCCCTTAGCCCTATTTAAATTTTTTAAATTTTGAGACAGAGTCTGGTTAAGTTGTCTATGCTAGCCTCAAACTTATGATCCTCTTGCCTCAGGCTACTGAGGCAAGTATGCATCAACAAGTGTGCTTGAATTACAAGTGGGCACCAACACACTGGCTATTTTAAGTATTTTCAATCCAAAATTGGTTGTATCCATGGATGTGGAAACCACAGATAGAGGGCTGACTGTATATTGCATATTTTGGGTTAATTAAAATACATAATTTATTTGGTTATGGTGGCACACACCTATAATTTCATTGACTTGGAAGGCTGAGGAAGGAGGATCTCAAGTTCAAGACTAGCCTAGGCAATTTAGCAAGACTCTGTCTCAATACAAAAAAGCTGAGGATGTAGTTTAGTGGTACAGCACTCCTGGGTTCAATCCCCAGTACTATAAATAACTGACTGAATGTAACTTCCCATTTTCTCTTTATTTTTTATCTTATTTTTTTTAATATTTATTTTTTAGTTGTAGTTGGACACAATACCTTTATTTTATTTATTTATTTATTTTTATGTGGTGCTAAGGATCGACCCCAAGGACCTGCACATGGTAGGCGAGTGCTCTAACGCTGAGCCACAACCCCAGCCTTTCATTTTAATGTGGCTATTTAAATTATATATATGTGGCTCAAATCATATTACTGTTGGACGGCATTGCTTCAGCACTTAGGTGGTAACACTTTTTTCCAGCAACACCAAGGAAAGGTGTGTGGGTGTGGGTGTTTGTGCATGCGTGCACAAGCCCAGGGGTAGGGGCACTGGATACATCCACATGAAAGAACGCCTTCCCAAGTATAGACTGAGTTAAGAGTACACATGGGTACATCTGTCCTATATGTATGTCTTTGTCACTAGGTCTGTATGTGTTCTGGAAGCATCAGGTAGGCCTCTACTGTGGCCAGAGAGCAACAGTAGTAGCTGGTGACAGCACAGACCTGTGATTTTTTTGCCTTAAGGAAGATTGTGCCCTTTGCCTGGGGAACCAAATTGGCCTCTACCAGGACACAAGTTTGTGTGCTCAAGAAGATTTTGGGGTGGCTTGCTATTTTGCCACTGACCAGTGTGATATAGACTTATTGATGCTACTTGCCCTCACCACAGCATGCTCCTGAAGAGGATCCTGTAGTGTTTTCTTACCCTCTCTTCAGTTCTTACCTCTCCTTGCCCACTCCAGTTTTTACCTTCCTTAACACCAATGCCTGCTGACCCATGTCACCATAAGGTGGCATTCCCACTCAGAAAGGAGACAAGCCTCTCTAGACCAACAGAGAAAAGCAGGACATACTAGGTTTCTATTTATTATTTATTTATTCATGAGATGGGGTCTCAGTATGTTGCCAAGATGTCTCAAACTTGTGGGCTCCTGACTTAGCCTCCCAAGTAGCTAGACAGGCACACATAACCATGCTTGGCTACACCAAGGATCTTTATAAATCCTCATTCTCTACCTGCTTTGCCTAGTCAGCGAGTCAAGTTTATAGGGGTTGGCAAGTTGGGGCTCACAAAGGCTATTCAAAAGATAAATGGCAGAGTGGATCCCACTCCAACTTGGTCCACTCCCTAGCTTCTGGATTTCACCAAACCATGACAGGCTAGCTGACAGACTGATACATTTTGGGGGTTGCTTCTATAGGAGATCATAAAATTCTGAGAGATCACCAGCTGGTTTTAGGGGTAGGAGTGGCACGAAAGTTTGAAGAGAACTAGGCAGGATATTTTAAACATTCAGTGGTTCTTGTTTATCTTTGGTTCATTAAAAGTGACCAGGCCTGGGAGCATAAGTTGCCACCACCCTCCCACTCCACCAATCCTTAATAATCCCACTGTTCTTGATAAAACTAGTTCTGCACTGTAAAGGCTTCTCCATCATGTCACTACAGACCATTCCCCTTTGGCCTAAAACCCTTGGCCTCCTTGTCCATGCATAAAATGAGGAGGCCTGGATCAGTGTCCCTACTAATAGTGAAAGTATGTGATTCCTGAAGGGTTCTAAGAATCACAGCTGGACAAATGGGTTGGCATTCATATATATGTGAATATATATTAAAAATGTACATGTATTATACATAACACATATATAATACATAGATTATAAAAATCCATTTAATTATCTCACATATATATAATTATATAAATTTCTTGTGTGTGTGGTTCTGAGGACTAAACCTAGGGCTTTGTACGTGCTGGGCAAGCACTTTATCATTGAGCTATACCCCCAAGTCTTAGACTGTTTCTTAATGTCTTCTATGATTTAGATTTATACCTGTTCACTCTTTCATATTACACTGGGCTTATTGATCCTGTCAGATTTAAAGATGGGCATGATTTGTCCCTTTCCATTTCCTTGTCATCCTTCATCTTCTAGATGGACCTGGTCATTATCCTGACAAGGAGGAAACTCAGAGCAAGAGGAAAAGCTGGCTTCAGAGTCAGGCCCATGTCTGAGACCTGCCCTGCCAGTTGCTGGGAGCGAGCTTGATTGACCCACCCTGAGCTGTATTTCTGCTTCTGTCAGGAAACATCCCTTGCAGCCAGCATGTGGATACCTGAGCACCCAGAATTAGGCTAACTGATACAGAAAGTTTCATATGCCTGGTTTAGCGTGCAGAGGGACTGTGGCCCCTTATGACCATTTGCATATTGTAGGAGATGCTGAGAGTGATAAGGCCCATCCAACCAATGGTGACAAGATCTGTGCTCACTGACCAGTCAATGAAGGCAAGAATGATGACCGCTTGTACCAAAGGAAATTCCTGCTGACCATTCTCTACTTTGTATCATTTTCGTGAGCCAGTGGTAGGCTGAGTGGGCCCAACTTCACCCTATCACATGCTCCAATCTGTTCTACACCTCAATTGTTGGGTACCCTGTTACTACATTTTTATTGAATCAACTTTATGTAATCACTTGAGTGATCAACTGTATGTAATCACCTCCAGGGAGGTGAGACAGGGGGAAAATCAAAGGAAGACAAGGACAAGATATCAGCATTAAAAGTGTGGCACCACAGTTATCCTTCCCACCTAACCAGACAGCAAAGATCCCCTAGTTCTCCAAGGAAGAACTTTCTGGAAATTCTCATAAGGAGGGCCATCCTATTGTACAAGAATCCGGGGAGGCTCTCATCACAATTGAAGAATTCAAGTGACATTCCTAGGTGATTACCCTCCTCCCATGGAGGTCTTTCAGGAATGCAAAATTCCTTCATCAACCAGAGAATGAATACAAAGCAAAGCAATATTCAAAAAATTCTGAAAACTTTTCAATATTGATGAAAACATTGATCATGAATTTGACTACTGTTGAATTCAATTTGTTAGTAGACTTTAAAGGAATTCACCACCTATATCAATGAAGGATATTATGCTACAAATTAAAAAAAAAAAAGAAGAAAGAAAGAAAGAAAAAGAATCTGGGGAGAGTTTCATGGTGAGGATTCTAGAGCATAAAAAGTGAGTTGCAGGAGCCAGTGTCTCTACTATCTCAGACATGGGTTTCCACCTCATGGATTCTAAGACACCTTGTAGCATCTTTGCTCCAAAAACAGTTTTCTTTTGCAGGCTATTTGGCTAAACTTGATGAATAGGCCATGGAAAAACCATGATCAAAGGGCTGAGCCCAAAGCTGGAACTGCCCCCAAAAGTAGCAATAGGGGAACTCCTATAACCACCCTGGCTTGAGGCCAGTTGGAATGTCAAAGAAAGAAGCACTAAACATCAGGGTGATCAATCCAAAGTATTTATTAGAGGGATTTATAGAGGGGCTGTAGCATGTTCCTGGAGAAATACAGTGATAGGAGAGGTCACTTTGGCATGTCCCCAACCCCAGGGGATCATCATATACAGTTTATATTAGGTTCAAGGAAACTGGCTACAGGAGAGGGCTTGTTTCTGTGAGTTTGGTAACACTTTCATCTTTTAGTATTTCAGGCAACCTAAACAATGTTGATCAGTATCTGGGAATCTTCAAAGCTTAGATTCGGTACTTTCAGGGGAAAACAAAGCAGGGGTCTCAAAGTAGCCAGGGTATCCTGTGTCTAATCAGGACAAGGAAAAAATCTGGAGGTGGAGAGATAGGGGTGGAACCCTATATCATGGCTCAAGCAGGGGACATATATCCTGGTCAAAACCTGCAGAGCATACCTTGCTAGGCCAGGGAAGAGATAGACTCTACATGTGTAAGGGACTGTGACCCCATGAGCAAGCCTGCTCCCAGTCATGTCTTGTCCCCACAGGATCTTCTCAGTCTTGCTCATACTGTCAATATCTTGAGCCCAGGAGAAGCCATCCCTTTAAAATAAAACTCTGGTCCAAGTGTGGCTACAGATCTTTCATTCTTTCAGTGCACAAAAGAATATGCAAAGCAAGGACTATGTGAACCAGTGGGATTCATCACAGGTTAACTATCTAGCAGTTGGACAATTTCAAGTTTTCAAACCTCAGCAGGAATCCAACTATGGAACAGATAGCTAACCCTGAAAACAAGAGGCTTGACCACTGCATTTAAAGAATAGTCCATAGAGGTAGGGAAAAAACAATATGAGAAATAATGTTCAAAATCTGAAATCTGCTTTCAATTCTAGTGAATGTACTTCCTGTCAGAATCTGATCAAGGCAGTTACATATGGTACAGTATGAATATACATTGGGAAGGAGGTGGCAGCCTGTTCCTCCTGTTACCTGCTGAGGGGCAGATCATGTACACTGTCCAGTGCAGACCAGGTAGGGGTATCCTTTCCCTGAATGCACCTCTGCTTTCAAAACATTCCTGCTTTATCCCTGGGATGACATCTAGAAGGCCCCCTGCACACTGTCAAGGGCTTCTCTGGGATGTGCTAATTTAGGCAGATGTGAGCCACAGGACTCCAGACTGATGTGGGGCACCCAGACCGTAACATTAACGTGAATGTTACTCAAGGAACACAAATATAATTAACTGAGCTTTGACAATGGCGTTTACCCTGGTTCCTAATGTTGTGTTATTTTCTTAGGAAGAAACAAAGGCGGCCCTACTCTCAGTGGAGCACCTACACTGGCAGAACGTGGAAGCCGGGAAGGATCCAGCCAAAGGATGCCCCGCCAACCCAGTGCCACAAGGCTGCCCAAGGGAGGCGGCCCTGGGAAGAGCACCTCTAGGAGCAGCACGTAGGAAGAGAACAGACTGCATTGCCAGCGTGCTAGAACCATTGTTCTCCCAGCAAAAGCTGTGTGCCATCTCCTTCCACTAAGTCTCTCTAAAAAGCTGAGAATCAAAATCATTGTTCTCCCCACAAGAAAATATCAGAAATAAGTTTAAAACGATGTAAACATTTATACCTCACACACAATTTATTTTAGTAGGTATCTTTTTGACTTTAAAGGCGTCTTTTATTCTACTTTATTAGGGCTATTTTATTTTTAAAATTATAGGATAGATAGTATATGACATGGTCTCCCAAAACTTCTTTACAACTCGGTCCTTATAATACATTATAAACTAAATCTGTCCCTTTTTAGGTCTTACAGCTACAGTAGCACATGCCACCACACAAAAAATTTTTATTGAAATGAGCCACTAGACTAAAAGTTCTGTTCAAACACCAAAATTGTCCTATATTTTCTCCATGTATCAGCCCTCTGGGTCAACAAAACACCTATAAACATTGATTTCATTTAAATTGATTTGAATATATAAATATTGCAATCTCATGATAACTTTTATGGACAAGAGAACTGTGGAAATAGTAATAATGCATGTGTAATTCTTGGATTTCATTTGTACCTATTTTGTCATCACACCCATTCTCCTTCATTCCAAAGTGCATGGCTCCAGCTTTCATTCTTATCCTCAGTCCATGTCATCCCACACAAGAAACTTTTTTTTTCAATTTACATGTAAGAATTTTAACCATGAGGATCAGAGGGAAGTTTCAATAATAAAGTGTTAAGGAAAAAAAATCAAATGTTCTCTATCACTTTTTGAACATATGAAAGCACATAGATTTAGAATGAGGTATGTGCTGGTCCTAGTTTTTCTATAGCCTAACTAACCAAGTAACTTAAACCAGTGACTTGACTTTCTTGGTCCCAGCTTTTAAGTCCAAGAGAAGATATATGTATTGCCAGGTCTTTATTATAAACAGCTCAACATGTTTCCCTTGAAGTGCAAGAGGTGGAATTCCCTATTAGGACTGTTCACAATACTAGGTAAGAGGTGTGAGTGTATGAACATAGAAGGAGAGCACTGTCTCCAACTGGCCACACAACATTGAGGTTATAGTGATATGTTGTGACTTAATGAGTCATGCATGCTATGGGGAATTCAGTAATATCCCTTTCCCCTCAAATTGCCTTGATCTTTCTCATTTGACTCAGTTTTAGGGATTTTGTGGACATTTCCTACCCTCAGACCTCAGATTTTAAGCCCTCCATTTCTAAACTCTTATGCTTTATTCAGTCTCATCAACAGAGAAGGCCCCAAATTAAAATTTTTTTTAAAAAATGGGAAAAATCCAACTCAGTTTCCTTAGGAATTTATAAATTTTATGCTTTGAAACTGGATTTGTGTGTGTGTGTGTTTATTAAGGATTGATCTCAGAGGTGCCCAACGACTGATCCACATCCCCAGTCCTTTTTTTTTTTCTAACATTTTATTTTTTAGGTATAGATGAACACAACACAATGCCTTTATTTTTATGTGGTGCTGAGGATCAAACCTGGGTCCCACCCATGCTAAGTGAGCGCTCTACCACTGAGCCACAGTCTCAGCCCCACATCCCCAGTCCTTTTATTTTTTATTTTGAGATAGTGTCTCTAAGTTGCATACGGCCTTGCTAAGTTACTGAGTTGAATTTGTGAATCCTGCCTCAGCCTCCCAAGCCGCTGGGATTACAGGCATGTATCACCACACCCAGTTGAAACTAGATTTGAAATACTTCCATCAAGTCAAATCATTTCAGCAGTGGTTCCTTAACATTACAGCAATATAATCCCCAAGTCCCTCTTTAATCAGTAGACTATGGAGTCTGGACTGGCCTTCTGTGTGGTTCTAAGATCCTATCCACTCCTATGGACAAAGTTATGCAGCACACAGAAATTTAGGGTTTATACTGAAACTTTAATTGTAAACAATGTGAAGGCTCCTATGCTGAGGGGTGGCAGAAGAGTTGACAAGGAATGCATGCCAGTTTCATCTTTCCACTCAATATTCTTCCCCTTCTTCAGCCTCTGCTTCCACAGAATCCACGCCCACCTCTTCATAATCCTTCTCCAGCGCTGCCAGGTCCTCTCGGGCCTCTGAGAATTCCCCTTCCTCCATGCCTTCGCCAACATACCAGTGCACAAAGGCCCGCTTGGCATACATGAGGTTGAACTTATGGTCCAGGCGGGCCCAGGCCTCCGCGATGGAAGTGGTGTTGCTCAGCATGCACACAGCCCGCTGCACCTTGGCCAGGTCTCCTCCAGGCATCACTGTGGGGGGCTGGTAGTTAATGCCCACCTGCCAGGGAAGAAAGCATTCCATGAAACTTATATCAAACCCAGAAATGGTGGCTACTTTTCCTCATATAAAGATACACTGCAGGAGCCCTCTGATGACCCTCTGAGAATGCTCAGTTGACCCTGTAAACAGGCACTGAGCCCTTCTTTGTATCACACATGGTGCTGGGTCAACAGGGTAATGGTTCCAGAAAAGGAAAAAGCAGGGAAAAATAAGCCTTGGAGTTAGTCATCCTTGGCTCAGTCTCAAGTGCCTGAAGGGCTGGGTCTAAGCAACTATGCTAACTATGGTACTAAGGGAAAGGACTCCATCTTCTCTCTGAAAACACACTACCTTGTGTTCTTTGTGGATTTTCTCCATAACAAGATGGTGAATTTCTGTAACCAAAAACATTTTCCACCCAGATAAATCCCGAGAACTGTATATAACTGAAAGCTCAGGGAATATCTCCCCCTTCTGACCCAGCAACCAAACCTTTGTGATATATACGAAGGTAGTAGATCAAAGGTCATGTGAATACTACTACCACAGTGGCAGAAGGTGGCCTATCTGTGTCTTAAGTGGGGAGAGGGAGTGACATGCTCAAGGAGATACCAAAGGGGAAGCATTCCATGTTTCAGAATCAGGGAGTAACTTGACCAGAAGTTTTGGCAGAACTGTGTAGTAACAACTAGAGCAGGGATGAACCAAACTTATTCTGTAAAAAGTGATAAAGTAAAAATTCCACATTTCACAATTCTTTGTCCAAACTGCTCAATTGTGCTGATATGCAAAACCATAAACAATTTGTAAGTGAACAAGTGTGACTAGTCAGACCAAACCTTATTTATAAAATTTGGCAGCCAGTTTAACAACTGTGTAAACCCCTGATCTAGAGAAGAAAACCCAGAGCAAAAAATACTAGATAAGGACCTACTGTATGGGCTGTGGTTGTGACTTAGTGGTAGAGTGCGTGCCTAGCATGCGTGAGGCACTGGGTTCAATCCTCAGCACCACATAAAAATGAACAAATAAAATAAAGGCATTCTGTCCATCTACAACTACAAAAAATAAAATAAAATAAAGAATCTAAAGGGATTGTGACTCAGTGGTAGAGCACGTGCCTGGCATGTGTGAGGCACTGGGTTCGATTCTCAGCACTGCATATAAATAAACAAAATAAAGGTCCATTGACAATTAAAAATATTTTAAAAATAACCTACTGCAGTATAGCCACCAGAAGCAATAAGGGGCTAGCTAACCCAGGGAACATAGCATGAAAACCAAAGACAAGAGCTCAATGGTAAAGTGCTCTCCTAGTATACACAACTTGCTGGGCTTGATGCCTGAGGAGGGAAGAAAAGAAGGAAGAAAGAAAAAGAAAGCCAAACAAAATCTAGCCAAGCCAAGCCAAGCCCAAGGACAACTAGTTTTAACAATCAACAGGATTTAGGAAACTACTATTAGAAAAACTGAGTAGATAGATAGCAGTTTCTATCTTGTACCAGTGGAGAGGTGACTCAAGTTTTGTGTTTTATAAAACTCACACCAGAATTTCTAAGAAGCTAAAAGAAAAAATATATATTGCCATTTTCAGCACAAAAAGATTCATGGAGGTTTTTCCTTAAATTGGATAATCCATAGGATATTGAAACTGAAATTAGTTTCTACATACCTATACAATAAAGTGAGATTAACTGACAATAGTCTGTTTTAGTAACACCCAAATTCAAAATAGTTAAAAAGACACACATTAATCACCAATGTACCCACACTAATCCTACCATCAGAATGGGGCACAAAAGTTCTTCAGAAAATACTATATTCTGTTAAAAAAATATAAATATAAGTGCACCAGGTGTGGTAATTCCAGTAACATGGGAATTGAGTGGGAGGATCCCAAATTCAAGGCCAGCCTCAGCAACATAGCCAGACCATTTCAAAATAAAAAATATGGGACTGAGGACATAGAGCTCAGTTGGTACATTGCTTGCCTAGCATGCATAAGGCCCTGAGTTCAATCCCTAGCACCACCAAAAAGATAATAATAAGTAATAGGTTGGGGATGTGGCTCAAGCGGTAGTGCGCTCGCCTGGAATGCGTGCAGCCCGGGTTCGATCCTCAGCACCACATACAAACAAAGATGTTGTGTCCGCCGAAATCTAAAGAAAATAAATATTAAAAAAATTTTTTTTAAAAAAGATAATAATAAGTAAATAAATAAATAAAGTTGAGGGGCTGGAGATGTGGCTCAAGTGGTAGCGTGCTCGCCTAGCATGCATGAGGCACTGGGTTCAATTCTCAGCACCATATAAAAATAAAATAAAGATATTCTTTAAAAATAAATAAATAGATAAATAAATAAACTTGAAAAGTGGGAAAAACACTCATGGGTTTAACAAAAATTTTTAAAACTGCTCACTACAAATACATAGTGTGATTCAGAAAGGAAATTCAAGAGATATCAATGAATAAATTATTCTGATTCACTAATTTGCAACCAAGAGCCTAACCCAAGTAAAAAAGCACTGACTCCCACACGGATTTGTGTTCTCAGGAGCATCATGAAAATTCAGGCCTGCTGTTTGCTGACAAGCAGGATGACTAGACAGCACCCAGTCCTACCTTAAACCCAGTGGGGCACCAATCCACAAACTGGATGGTGCGCTTGGTCTTGATGGTGGCGATGGCCGCATTGACATCTTTTGGGACCACGTCCCCCCTGTACAACATGCAGCAGGCCATGTACTTGCCATGGCGAGGGTCACACTTCACCATCTGGTTGGCCGGCTCAAAGCAGGCATTGGTGATCTCGGCCACTGAGAGCTGCTCGTGATAGGCTTTCTCCGCCGAGATGACTGGGGCATAGGTGGCCAGCGGGAAGTGGATGCGGGGGTATGGCACCAGGTTGGTCTGGAATTCTGTCAGGTCCACGTTCAGGGCCCCATCGAACCGCAGGGAGGCCGTGATGGAGGACACGATCTGCCCAATGAGACGATTGAGGTTGGTGTACGTGGGCCGCTCGATGTCCAGGTTGCGCCGACAGATGTCATAGATGGCTTCGTTGTCCACCATGAAGGCACAGTCGGAGTGCTCGAGGGTCGTGTGGGTGGTCAGGATGGAGTTGTAGGGCTCTACCACAGCTGTGGAAACCTGCGGAGCTGGGTAGATGGCAAATTCCAGCTTGGACTTCTTGCCATAGTCCACTGACAGCCGCTCCATGAGCAGAGA